GTCTGCGCCCATTGTTGCAGCCCCCGCCCGGCCGCTGCGTCGTCCACCCCTCTCCTTGAGGGTCTCCCTCCTTTTTTGGCCGACCCTAGGCTGGGTTCAGCGTGTTTTTCTCCGGGACTGCTCCGACCTGATGACGTGTCCCAAGTATGGGCGATGTGGTATGGACAACCCGGCTTCGAAGGAATCTTCCGACAGCACTTCTTCCAAGACACATGTGTTTGTTCTCCTGGCAGTCTCTGCAGTCAATAGTCAGCACCCAGACCGTGCAAGTCATTCACAAGCATCACTTCTTCCTCAACGCCAAGTGATTCAAAGGCGTCCATTCTTCGTGACACTTGGTCGAGCTGTCACTTGCCCACGGGGCTATTGAAAATACCGTGGCTTGGGTATGACCCACCTTAATCTTGGAGGGGATGTCTCTGGTTTGTCACGCTAATTCAGAGGAAGTCTTTTGCAGTAGATTTGCTCATCAGGATCGGTTGTGTAATTTCTTGGCTGCTCGTTCCGTGGGCGTTCATTGTCGGTCCAAATAAAACGAATATGGAGAACTGATATTTTCTCCATTTACCACGATGATGCTTACTGGTCCAGTTGTGAGGATTTTTTTTTCTTAGGTTGAGATGTAATTAATAATGCAAGTTGCAGTCGTTTTTTTTAACCCAGCTTGTGAATAAAGGCTTATGATAGATATGACACGTACCACGAGCACTTGAAATGAGGCTCCACTGAGAGGTTTCTGTTAGCCCAGTAAGGTCGATGCCCTTTTGGCGCAGAGACCCGCAGAAGTGTAGCTGGGGTGAGGCCGGCAGAGGGACTAGGGAAGCCAGAGGAGGGGCGGAGTGACAGTGGGATGAAAATATAAAATTGCCTCCCCAAGGCAGTATGACAAGAGGGTGCTATTGAGGCACCTCACCTATAGCGTTTATTCATCTTGGAATCGAGGGCCGCAAGTTAAGAGATTGGCCTATGGAGATCATTGCTCATTGGCTCCCTGAGGGTCATAATTTCAGTGCTTGCCAAAGGCTCTTTTTCACAGAGCCACATCTCTGTGAGCCTTCTGCGTCTCTTATAGCGTGGTGGGCTACTCCTTGGATTGGTAAATGCAAAGAAAGTGGTTCGAAGCCACTGTCCTAACCACCAGAAGCTCTGCATAGAGACTCATACAGGTTTATCGTCTTGGAACCCCACAGGGGGAGTTCTCCTCTACCCTATAGGGATGCTGTGGATCAGAATCAACTTGATGCTAGCAGGTTTCCACTTTCATCTGGAAAGGTGGTGTCATCTGCATAGCACAGGTGGTTAATGTATTCCTTCTAGTTCCACCGCTGCTTCGGGATTGCTGGGGTGCAGGAAAAGGGACAACGGAGCCCAAAGGACAAACCGCCTGCCGCCACCACCACGCCTTGAGGTTTTGGGACTTCTTGGACAAAGTGGCTGGGGCCTGTGGATCTGCATCAGGGCCTGCTCTCTCAACCCTCACCCAGAAGCTTCTTGTCCTGTCTTTTCCACCCACAGTGACCTAACCTAACACCTCCCAGTAAGGAAAGGAGGTGAAGAGGCAGAGGTTCATTCTTCTGCAGAAGGGAATCTTGTGTTTGCAGGGCAGAAGGCAGAGCGGTGGGAAGTATCGAAGTCATCTGCAGAGCCTGAATTGCCTGAGCTGCCAGTCAAGGGTGGAGGAAGGACTTGGTGGACATCCCCACCTCCCTGACGCATCCCCACCCCACCCCCGTCGCCCTCCCCCAAAAGGTCCTGGTTTAAATCGCCTCTGCAGGCGAATTCTTAAAGTGAGTGAAATTGGGGTCCTGCAGCTTCCTGACTGCTTTGACAGACCCCTTTGCTCCTCCTGTGGAGGTCCAGTGGGCTAAGCAAGCTGCACCCTCTTGCATCCCAATGACCTGGACACCTTTGCATGTTTAGCATGTCTACCCAATGAGTTAAAACGAAGAGTCAGTCGCACAGAGTCTTCCACAGACGCGGGCAATTGGAGTCAGCAGTAGGAATAAGTAGGCGAGCGGGAGGGGGAGTTCTACCGATGCCATGCTTGCCTTCCCACGGAAGGAGTTGGGGTGAAACGCATCTCTTGGCCACAGGCTGCAGCCTGGGTTCCGCTGCCGCAGACCCGGAGGCCGGAGTGCCGCGCCCCTCCCCTCGCAGGCCGGGCCCGCCGGCGGCCGGCTCTCCGCGGGGCCTTGGCCAGCCCGAGCCGCTCCCTGCGGGAAGTGCGTGCCTGCGGGGGAGGAGGGAGCCCAGGCTGGCAGCGTCACCACCCGCAAGCTCGGGGTCTGTAGCTCCTTGGGCCCCCAGAAATGCTGGCCCTTCTGGGGGCAGTGAGGGCAAGTGAGCAAACAGAGCTGCGTAGTGATCAAAGGGGCGACCTACAGGGTCTCTTACCATTTCTACAAAATATTTTTAGAGAGGGGACCACAGCTTGCTAACCGGCCTGCTGCTTCCGGAGCCACAGGCTGACAGCTCAGCCCGTTTGAAAATCCGCCTCCAGCTGACCTCCGCTTCATTCCAGTAGCCTAAGACAGGTCTCTTTCTCCAACCCTGATACGTTCCCCGCCCACCCCCCACCCTCCCAGTCTGCCTCTTGCACCCGCAGGGTGCCATCTCTTCGAAGCCATCAGAGAGTAAAGCAAGCGGACAGACGTTCTGTCCCAGCCCCTACCTAACGCTTGCTTTCGTAAATACAGAATTGCAAGAGTATTCCACAATGCATTTCAAGCCGTGGGTGGCAGAAATTTCAAAAGGTTTCCATCTTTTGCTGTCTTTTGTGTGTGTGGTGGGGTGGTTTTTTGTTTTTGTCTTCTTGTTTTAGATCCTAACACTTGTTTTGCTTTTCCCTTTCGCTGAATTTTCAAAAGTAAATTAAAAAATGGAATGACTGAACCCTTTCCTTTGTGGCTACTGGTAAGCAAGACAGGAAAGTGTGGGAAGTGTGGGCAAAGTGCAAAAGAAACCTTACCTGACCGAGGGGAATTGGGGCAGGGCGGGCAAGCTGAAGGAAAACCTCGTGCACCACAGTGCAGCCGCCAGGGATCATTAGCTAGCGGGATTTGCAAAGCCATCAAGCTCGGAGACTACTTCCTTCTTAAACCTGTGAGCCTACGCAGTTCTGGGCACTGAACTTCTCTAGGGATGAGAAGCGCTGGTCTTTGGGTACAGGGACGACCCCCACCTCCCAGGGCTTGGATGATGTTCCACATGCCAGGTGCTCAGAAGAGAGATTAAAATGCATAACCTAGCGTAAACCTTTCCCAACCAAGAGACCTTTCATATGGGGGTCACAATTTCTTTTCTGACAAGAAATTTAGTTTGCAGCAGAACATCTTTTGTGTTCTCTTCTGAAGTCAGGCTCCACTATGATTTTTTTTTTTAGCAGAAGTTTGTAGCAGGAGGAGATAATTTCCTTTCCAAATGGATGAAGTGCCCCACTTCCCCAACTATCAGCTCCTCGAGAACTGTATATGATAACTTTACTTTTTATTCCCACCTCTTTCCCTCATCCACACTTGCTGGAGCAAGAATGAAGGTGGGCTCTCATTTTTCTTTTTTATGCTAACAAGTTCAATATAATTTGCATATTTCACATGTGCAGCGATCGTTGTAGCTTCCAGGAGATTGATCTTAAGATGGAAACGTGCATTTCCTTGTAAAAATCCTAATTATGGACTCTTAAAGACAGTGTTTGAAATACCCCTCTGGGCATGAACGCATGATTTAAAGGAGTTGTGCCTTCCTGGGGAATGCTGGATTAAATTGTCTGGTCTACTTTTAAAATAGAGTTCTGGAAAAATAGTTTTAACTGAACACAAAACAAAACAAAAGGTGGTTTTCTATTTTGTGTTGTTTTGGTTTTTTTTCCACTTGCATAATTCAAGACAAGCTTTGTTTGCAAACTGCAAACTTGGCTTGTATGCAATCCTTCTGAGGAATGTGTGCTGTTTCAACCAGGAGGGCTGGGGTCCCGTTAGAAGTAACAGAAACAGTATACAGAGCCGATGCAATGAGTGTGTAAGCATCCTTACTGTTTGAAGATGCACTGGCATCCTCTTAGCAGCAGTGAATTATAGATCTTTGGAGATAAGGAAAAGAACCCAGTACACTCCAGAATTTTTGGCAAGCTGGTCAATTTTGAATTTTGGATCTGACAGAAGGTGAGTACTTGAATCTGTTCCTAAACTCCTCTTTCCCTCTTTCTCCTCCGACTTTAGATGCCTACCACCTGTTTGTTGGCTTTGAGCTCTGTGAACTAACTTTTCCAAAATGCATGAATGAAACACAGAACTACACCCGGCTTTCACACAGAAGAGGGCGCACGTCGAAAAAGGCTGCAGTTAAGTGGATCCCAGTTACACAGTTGAGTTTTTTTCATCAGGCTTGAATCTTGGACACCCATTGTCCTGTTAGGTATTTAAGTGGGAGAATGTAATCCACGTGGAGAAAAAAGTCTATGTCTGCATTTGTGACTCTGCCGTCTCTTTGTAAAAAGCATATTCTTTAGTGACACAGATTTTCTTGTTTAAACACAATTGCCTTACATATGAGCTCTTTGTCTTGTAATGGCTTAGCAAGAGATTGAAGTGGTCCTACCCTTGCTTTTCATAGTTTAAAAATAAGGAAATAAAATGATAAAAGTTGAGGTTTTCATCCACCCACGAAATGCAGCAGTATGAAACAAACAAAAATGAGATGCAAAGAGCGCCTCAGATGAGCTCATCAAAATCTCAAGTTAATACTCATTTTTATCTGACCGTTTGACTCAGTGATGGCCCAAAGAACTGTCTACAGTCTACCAAGATCAGGGCCAGAGACTAGAAAATAGGAGATCCCGAAGAGCCCTTTGGTTTGGTTAGGTTTTTCTCTCCTTGAGTAGCTGATGGGGTTTGAGAGCTGAGGTGCTGGGGTCTCTTCCGCACTGCCGCTTAACCTCTTTGAAGCACCTCTCACGGGGGGGTTTAATTCCAAGAGTTGCTGAGAAGACTGCTAAACTCGTGTAAGAAACACACAGTTGTTCAAAGGCCCTTTGGTTGGGATCTCAAACGTCCTACATTTGAAAGCATTTGTATGCCTTCCTTTTAATCATTTTATAATCCAGCATTTTTAATGCAACTACAGTTCTTTGCAGTCTAATATTTTCCCAATTTCACTTCCTTTTAGGATTGCTTACAACTTTCACCTCTCTTCAAGGAATTTGTTTGCTCCTTTGTTTCACAAAAGATTGTTCCTAAAGCCTTGACGTCAGATTTCCATTGTTTGTATCAGTTCTTCCTATAGAAAACATGCTGTTTTTGCCAGTGACCACAAGAGGACACAATTTCCCAGAGAACTTTGTGGGAAAAGAAGTCTACAGAAGAGTAAAGCTAATAGAATACCAAAGCTGCAATGTAACTAATAGGTGCCCTTTTGAATAGAACCCTTTGATTTATGTCATTGTAGTGAATTTTAACAGCATCATCAAGCATGAGCTGGCTTTGAAGTTCTAAATATTTTTGGCCATTTTACATCTTGCAAAACAAAAAGAAAGTAGGCATTTATGAAACTGTATCAAATGTTACTTTTAAAGTTAAAGAAAACCTTATTTTACATTAGCTACATTTCTACAAACCTATCAATGACTTGGGATTTTACTTACATCATTTCAGAGCAATATTTGGCAAAGAAAAACACTATAGTTCTTATTCCAAAGGAGTTCTATATATTCAGAATTAGAGGGAAGCTAGTCACCTATTGTCATTACTGGACCTCAGGGTGGTGGAGGAGAAGAAATAGGGGGTGTGTGTGTGTGTGCTGATATCATTACCCCATGAATGACTGCTCACCTGGACATCATTTCAGGATCCTAGAGAGCTGCTTAGCCTCCCAGCTGATTTTTTATACTTGGAATATATGTATTCCAAAATGCTTTTTTGGAAATTCTTGGTTTTAGTTGGGTAATTTGGGATGCCTTTATGTGGAAAATTAAATGAAAATGGTTTGTGATTCAACATTGACTATGTTGTAATGTGCATGCTTGATTGATAACTACATTTTTAGATAGATGGAAAAATAGAATATTTTATGATTTTGACCCACACTGTACCAGAATTACTATGTAGCCTTTAATTATCTACATTTTCCCTATTCCCTCCTCTCTAAAATGGTTTCCAAGCATCAGATTATTAGTAAATTAAACATGTGCATTAAAGTAAATTAAAACGAGCCATGTCTTGCTATTTCATAATCCCTGTGGATTGCTGGTACAATGCGTTTGGAGCTTCTGTTGGAGCTAAATGCTTTTACCTTATATGTGTAGCTTCACATAGATATATTCTTAATTGGAATCTCAGAGACCTTGCAAGGAGGGACAGAGCAGCGGGCTGAGAGACCCAGGATAAGACTCGAGGATAGTTGTGTGTTTCATTGGTGCTATGCTGCAACCTTACCGGCTCATCTCATCC